AAATTTACTATCAATTAGCATTTTATAAACTTTCATTCCATTTTAAAAGATTAAAAGTATTGTTAAAATACTATATGTTCATCAAAGTGTAACTAAAACTCTTACATTTTATTGTAAAAATAACCAAATATTATAAGTATTATTTCTAAATTTTCATTAATTTTAGATTTTTTAAGAATTGAGAGGAAAAAAAATTATTTACATCAATTTTAAAGTAAAATAAAAGAAAGTGTAATTGAACAAAACTTTTAATTGAGTAAGATTATAGCAATTGCTGCAATTATTTGATGTATTAAATGTAAGTTTAATTATTTTGTTGAATAATTGATAAGCACTTTAAGAAGTTACAAACAATTAATTTAATTCATGCATATATATATATATGCTTGCATATTGAATGAAATATTATGTTATGATTTAAATTTTTTTCTTTTTAAAATAAAAAAACTTTTAAAACTTTTTAAATTTTAAAAAAAAAAATAAATAAATTTTCATTTTAATCCATTGTTTTCTTTTTTTCTTCCTTTTTTCCCCTCATCTTTTTATTGTTTATATTCAAAAACTTGTTTTTTAAATTTTTAAAAGCTTTTTTTTTAACTTTGAATTTATTAAGTTTTATTTATTTCTACTTTTTTTTTCGTTTTAATTAGTTGAATTTTAGTTGAGTGTTTGATAGAATTTTTTTTTAGTAAAATGTTTTACATTATTAATACATTTCATTAATTCATACCTATGTCACATTTTATATTTGATATTTAATTTTGAATATTATTTTAAAAATGAACAAAATTTTTATGAAAAAAAAAAAGAGAAGCAAAAATGTCGTACCATTTATAAAAGAATGTGAATGAAAGATGCATATAAGATGAGTGCGTACCCATTCAAATTAGTTTTCATTTTTTTTTTTTTTTTTTAAATTTAATGTCGCTTTTTAAATTGCTTATTTTATAAACTTTTCTAAGCATATATTCTTCAAAGGATTTTTACTAGCCCAAGGGATTAGAAAACATTCGTTCTACATTTATATCACCACCGAAACTTTTTTCTGAACATTTTAGTTACTCAGAAAACTCAATTCAATCTATTCTTTTTCTAAAAATTCTTCTCGTTTTTTGTTTTTGGTTTGTTTTTGTTTTTGTTTTTTTTTTTTTAATCGATAAATTTTGATTATAGAAAATGAAATTTTTATTTAAAAATCAAAATTTTTTATGTCATTTTTTGAGCTAAACGAAATTAATTTGAATTTGCAATTTCTTAATTTCATTTTATCAAAAAAGTAATGAATTTATCAACAAAAGAAAAGTATAAGAATTATTTTTCGTGCATAATTAATTAGAAATCTTGTAATTATTTTAATTTTATAATTAATTATTCATAATGATTATCATTAATCCTAATATTTTCTTTCATAAATTTAATTTAAAACATTTTTTTTTCCATGTAAAATTGGCCAAATCTTTTTCATTTATTATTTTCCAGTAGTTTCCAGTAGTATACTATAATTAAAAATATAATTAATCACTCATTAACAGTGATAATTTCCTTCATTTATTCTCTTTTAGCTCATTAAAGCACCATTCTATCTCATATATAGTCTAAGTAAAATATAAAATAAATAAATAAAAATGTAAACAAATTTTTGTACTTTGATCAAATAACATTCATTAATGATAATGAATGAAATATTTTTACTTATATCTTTTTTTTTTTTTTTTCATTTAATATTTTTGTTAAATTATAATAACTCATTGAAAAATTAATCAAAAAAGTATTAAAGAAAAATTTTTGGAACAAAAAAATTTTTTCATATTTCTAAAATTTTATATTTTGTAATTGTTATTGTTTGTATTTTAATAGTAAAAATTATTGCAGTACATTTGATTTGCCCTAATTTTCTCTCATTTTTTTCTTCTTAAATTTCTATACACAATTATTTAACTTTTTTAATTTTTTGGTATTAATTAAAAAATTAAGCCAAACATAAAAATTGTCAAATGTTTATCATTTTCAATATATCTATTATTGTTTTTTTTTTTTTTTTGAAATTTATTATCTTTGAAAAACGTTTTATTTTTTTTTTCAAAAAAAAAAGAGAAACAATGGTGCAATAATTAAAAGTTTATGTTGAAAATAAGAAAATTTTAATGAAATTAAACAGAAAGCAAAATTATTTAATTTTGCTAGAAGAGAAATTCATCTAAGCAAATATTTTCGTTTGATATAATTTTATAGTATTTCTTTTGATGTGACTTATGCGCCTACATTTAATTGCATTTCTTTTCATGTATCATTTGCGCCTTCATTAATTTCTTTTTTAAAATAACAAGTTATTTTTAAAATTTCACCTATTTCACTTCTTTATTATTGATTGCTTCTTAAATAAATTTTATAGTAAAAAATAAAATGTAATTTATTTAATTTTTTTTTCGAATATAAACTAAAAAATAATCAACAAATTTTTTATTTAATATTTCAATTTATACAAATATTTTAACATTTTTTTTTTTTTGCATATCCTTTCTAACTAAAGTAACAGTAAATTAAACAATTGTAATTAATTAAACTACCTGTCAGGTATGTTTTTTTTTTTCAACGTATGATGGATAATTCATTAAGCATTTAAATTTTTTTTTTTGTCTATGTCTTAATTTAAGTAATATTAAAAATATCTCTTAAATGAATTGTAAAATCATTCACGAATAATTCTACTACAAAAATATAAAATTTTTCTATTATTCCTTTTAATTTAATTTTAAAAATTTAAAATTTATCATTCAATTAATTTTGATTTAACAATTTCTCGATATTATCTCATTTTAATTACAATAATTTTGATTTAATCTTAAATGCAACATATAAAACAATAATATTTTCTCTAACAATAAGATTTAATTAAATTTGATATTTTCATTTAATTTAAATTGAGCACAGGAAATATAGAAGAGAAGAAATAATTGAATCATTTTAAAAGACTTTATAAGCATTGAAAAATAAATTTATGCAATTGAATTGATCAAATAATGGAATAAATTTTTCCAATTAGAACTTAAAGAAGAAAAGTAAACAAAAATAAAATTTCAATTTCATCAAATTTAGATAACATTTAAGCTTCATACTACTAACTTTACTTATTGTTTATTAAACATTAACAATTAACTAAACACTATCATCACAAAGTATAATCAAAGTTTCGTTGTATAATTATTATCAATAATAAAAAACGTTTAGCTAAAATATTTGTATATTTTTTTTTACTAAAAGTTTAAAATAATTTAAGCTTACAAAAAAAAAAGCATCGATAGCATTTAATTAATTAATTAATCAGACTAAAATGAAAGCATTTTTAATTATCAAAATATATTTATGAGAAAAATTTTTTCACTTAATAAAAAGAATTATTATATAAATAAAAAAAAATAAAAATATTTGTAATAAAATTTTTAAAATTATCAATAATAAATTTATCGATGTGAAATAAATAAAAAAAAAGAAAGAAATTGTCATTTATTAATTTCAATTTTCAGTGGATATTTAAATAATTTTCATCAAAAAATCTAAAATTTAACTGTTAAAATTTAAAAATTTTACAATATAATTAATTATATATTTAAATTTGACTAATTTCTTTTTTCCTTTAAAATTTACAAAAAAATATTTTTTGGAACATAAATTTGTTTCTTTTTTTTAATTTGCTTAATCTCTTTTTTTTGACTTTTTAACATCAGAATCCAATTTTGATGTCAAATTTTGTGACATAATCAATAATCAAATATAAAAATCGAAAAAGATTTCATTTCGTTTTTTTTTTTGATTTGATTTGATTGTTTTATTAATTTAAAATTTTCAGTTTACTAAAAATTTAAATTAATTTGAATTTTAAAAGAATAAAAATTAATTATTTATTTTTGACAATCATTATTTAATTTTTATAATTTTTATTAATCATTTTTTTCTGCTCCATTTAAAATACAATAATTTGAAAATAGCTTAAAAATTAAAAAAAAAAAAAAACCACAAAATCTTTTTTGTTCATAATTTTTTCATTTAAAAAATTGAGAGAGAGAGAGAGAGACAAAAAAAAATGGAAACAACAAATCAAACATAATTTTTTTTTCTTTCATAAATAATTTTGCATGAATTTATATTACTAAAAATAAAATGCATGCATAAATTTTTGGTTAGCATTTAAAATTTCATTACCTCTTTTTTAAAAAAAATTTCTTCCCTTCTTTTCTCTTTTATTTATTAAAGAAATAAATAATAGAAATAAATTACTTCAATTTAAATTCTCTAACATTTTGTCAACAACTTTTCATCCTTTAATACTAATGCACGATGTGATCGTATTTTTTCATAAAAAAAATTTTTTTTTTCTTTTTTAAAAAGTACGTTTTTCTCTTTTTTATTCATTTTATATAAATGAAAAAAAAAAAAAAACGAAGTATCGAAATAAATTTTTCACGTAAATTTCATATATTAGTTATCGTTGAATTTTTTTCATTATGTAAAATATATTTTTTTTATTATTCAAATTACATTTTTTTTTGAATATTATAAAAGAATATTTTAAACTGAAAGTAATTTTGAATTAAAATTTATTTTTTTTTCGACTATTTTTTTTTTCTTAATTTTTATTCTACTAACTTTTACATAATTTATTGAAAAAAGAAAAAGAAAGAAAAATCACATCGAATAGAACTATTTATTTCATTTACGTTTTTTTTTTTTCTTAAATTAAACTTTTTTATATTAAATAATACAATAAGAAATCCATCGTAATAAGTACTAATTAATTATTCTTAAAAGATATAAGTGCTAATCATTAATTATATTTTATTAAAATTCACTTTTTTTTTTGCTTCATAAATTTATTTAATAATAATTTTTTTTTCTTAAATTTTAGATTTAAATAAATATTAGTTGTTTGAAAAAAATTTAATTTGTTGGTAAAATATGAAATAAAAATAAAAATTTAAAGGATTATTATTATTATTATCTATATGGGAGGTGAAACATCAAAAATTCGACATTCAAAATCGACGGTAAACAGAAAATCATTAGCAAATCGTCGTAATACACAAGAAATTATATCTCCAAAAATTAATACTACTACTATTACTACTACTACTGCTACTGCTACTGCTACTACTACTAATTCTGATTCAATTAATTATACTGATCATTTACTTAATGTTGGTAAGTATTAATTTTAATAATATATGATTGTAAAATGTTAATAATTGTTTAAAATTTTGTACTTAAATAAAAATAATTTAATTTTTTTAAGTAAATAATCAATTAAAGTAAAGTTTTTTTTTTTGTGATTTAATTTATTAATGTTATATAACAGTTACTATCAAATTTTTCACATAAAAAATAAAAAAAATGACTGTTAATGTTTTTTTTTTCTGTGTTATAAGCTAATGCTAATGAAATAAGATGTGAAAATTTTCAATAAACTCAAAAACGATGGCATTTTTTTTTATTTTTTGTAACTTCTAAAAAAAAAAAAAAAAATTAAATGTCAGTAAGATTAATGAAAAAAAAAAGTGTAAGCTAGACTTGGCTTTTACTATTTAAGCTGTCTTACTTTATATTATTATTATTTGAGAAACTTACTTTTAGGCTGTTTAGTCGTTGAGATTGTTTTCTTATAAAATATAATGTTCAATTTGACTTTATTTCTTTGCTTTAGCTAATTATAATTTTATACACTATTATTTGCATAAAATTAATAAATGCTTAAATAAGATTGAAAGTGTCAATATTATAATTAGGAAAAAAAAATTATATTTAAGTTAAAAAAGTATAATATTAAAAGTTCCAAAATGATTTAACAAAAAAATGATTTTTGAAGATTATTCGTCATTATAATTAGTTTCATAAATATATTAAAGTCATTGTAATTAATTTCATAAATATATTAAAGTCATTGTAATTAATTTCATAAATATATTAAAGTCATTGTAATTAATTTCATAAATATATTAAAGTCATTGTAATTAATTTCATAAATATATTAAAGTCATTGTAATTAATTTCATAAATATATTAAAGTCATTGTAATTAATTTCATAAATATATTAAAGTCATTGTAATTAATTTCATAAATATATTAAAGTCATTGTAATTAATTTCATAAATATATTAAAGTCATTGTAATTAATTTCATAAATATATTAAAGTCATTGTAATTAATTTCATAAATATATTAAAGTCATTGTAATTAATTTCATAAATATATTAAAGTCATTGTAATTAATTTCATAAATATATTAAAGTCATTGTAATTAATTTCATAAATATATTAAAGTCATTGTAATTAATTTCATAAATATATTAAAGTCATTGTAATTAATTTCATAAATATATTAATTAAATAACTATGTTACTAATTACAATAATTTATAGATTTTGGTAATCGAGCCGGAAATTCACCAAGATTATCATTAGAATTCAATATTAATCGTAGTCGTTCAGGAAGTTTATCCAGTTCACGAGGTACATCAAAGCAAAAGCATCCAATTCCTATTCGTGACCGAAATCTTATTCAGGTATTTTTTAAAATTTCTTTAGAACTAATTAATTATTATAAGAATTTTAAGAAACACATTTATTTGTTTATTAATAGAAGCTACTTATCAATGTTAGCATAAAAAGAAAAAGTAATTATTTAATTGATAATTAAAAAAATTATGCATAAATTGAAATGATTAAAGGTACAAAGTTACTTTTTTTTTTGAAATATTGGAAGCTTAAATAAATTAAATAAAAGTAGGTTAAGTAAAAGAAAAAAAAAGGAAAAATATGAAAGTATAACCATAAAAGTAAATATATAATTAAGCAATCATTGCAAAATTATTGAGTACAAAACTAAAATTAAAATTTTTAATTTTCTATAAAAAAAAAAACAATTTTCATTAGTGATATTTTTTTATAATTTTGTAACTGAAATTATTGGAGGAAACTTCAAAATTTTAAAAACAATGTAATAATTTTTTCATTTCTAAAAATTTTTTCTTTTAATCAAAAAACTAAGAAACTAAAAATAAATAAAAATGAAAAATTAGTTTTAATTTCAAAAATAAATTATGGAATTAACGAGGATTTAATTTTGAAAAAGAAAGAAAAAATATGAAAAAAACAAAATTATGGAAAATGGAATAAATTTTTGTAGTAAATATAAGATTAATTTTTGTTTATTTTATCATTGTAAACAAATTATCCAAAGAAGAAAAAGTGCTAAGCGAGAAAAAATGAATTAAAATAAAATTTTTATAAAAGAAAAACAAATAGTATGTACAAATAAACAAATAAATTAACAATTTTATGAGTTTCATTGAATAAATAAATACAAAGTAATTAATTAATATTGTAAATATATAATAAATATGCCAAATAACATATAATGAAATATTCTTCTAAATAAACATTAACCTTAAAGAGTTATTTAAAATAATTAATATTAAGTATGGTTGTTAAGAAGAAGAAAACTAAATATAGCTTTCAAAGAATTGAAATAAATCAATTCAATAAATAATTTCTTTTTTAATTTTTGAATAATGGAAATTATTAGCTGAACTGATCATTCAAATCAGACAACAATATATTTATTTATTAATAAAATTTAATTCACTAGGAAAAGAATTAATTCCAACAATTGAAGTATAGACGAAAAAGAAAAAATGAAAAAAGAAAGTGGGACGAGAAAATAAAATGAAATTTCAGTAAAAATTTAATTTAATTTTAATATTGAGAAAATTTTTTTTTTTAAAAAAATGAAATTTTTCTATTTTTTTTCTGTTTGCTTTATTACTTAATTTAAAATTTTTTTTTTCTTTTGATTATTTTATTATTTTTTTTTCAGAGTTGTTTCCAAAATCCACACGAAATTATTGGCCATAAAATTTTACAACGAGCATATGAAAAACGAAATGGCTTTGCAAATTTTTATGCTAAATTAAATAATGATGAAAAGGATGATATTGAAGAAGGAATTAAAGTACTTCTAAAAAAAACTGTCGCAAATATTAATTTCATGGATGAAGTAAGTAATAATATACTATTTATACAGGTAAAATATACTCTTTAAAATAAATAGTATAAGTAACATTTAAATTTTTTAATTTAAATTTAAAATAAGTAACAATACCATTTATATGTTATATGTATATATAATATTTATATATTAATGTGTATTTATCCAAAATATTTCGATTTTTACATTTTGTATAAATTTTAGCAAATTTTTTCATGAATAAAAAAATTAATTTCAATCAAATTAATTTCAATAAATGTACCAATGATATTATTTATTAAAAAAGAAAGAAAAGAAAAAAAAAATTTTTTTGATCAGATCTTATAAATTATATCATTTCTTTGTTATTCAAAATTTCAAAGCATATCTTACTAATTTCATATCTTATTGAAATTTCATTTAATAAAATTTAATTATAACTAAACAATATTTTGATTAATTTTACAACAAACACAAAAAAAAAATGAATTGTCTCCAATAATTTATTTTATTTAATAATTTCATTTGCATTTCAAACAAACAAAAAAAAAAAAATTATTGAAATAACATTTTAGGTACAACGATTAGCAGAAGAATTTGGAGGAAAACATGTTAAATTTCGCTCACTTGGCTTTAAACCTGAATTTTTTGGTGTTTATGCTGATGCTACAATAACTGAATGTATATTTCTAGACAATGCTATGCATCCTGCTCATCAAACACTTAATGCATTTTCATCATTTATTACTATGGTTTAAATTTTGAAATTGTTATCTTATAAATTTTGCAAAAAAGTTTTTTGAAAGTTTTTTTACTTATTTATTACCAAAAATTTTAATTGTTTACTTTGTTCTTTTGTTTTTTTTTTCGCTTTGTTTACTTCTTTAGCTATAAATTATATTTAAAAAAAAAAAAAAAAATGAAAATTATAGGTATATTCATCAGTGCGAGATGGTTTTTATAACGAAATGCGTCGTATGAGACGTGCATCAAATAGTTTTAGCACGGGTTCGAATTCATCGTACGTACGAAAAACTATATCAGGCGATATAAATATTGAATTGCCGCAAAGGTTAATATTACTATTATTCTTTTTATTTTTCATTTAAGAAAAATAATCATCTAACGATCAAATATAATTTTTAAAAGATATAATTTTGATGATAGAAGAATATCCAACTGATATTATTATATAATATTGCATCCTTGAAAATTAGAAATTGGAAATACTCACATCGAAATTTATTTCAGATCAGGAAGTCCAGGTAACGAATCTAGTGAATCGGATTTTAGTGCAGTGATAGTGATTCCAGCAGATGATGATAACTTAGCGAAATCACCTTCAAATGATCTTTAAACATATTAAATTTTTAGCCAAACAGTGTATATTTGAAATATTTATTTTCTTTAAAATGCCTTATTTCTTACTGTAAAATAATTCTGTTATCAATTCCAAATTGAAGTAATACATTTCTCCGCAATTTCTATTCAAAAAAAAGAGAGACAACAACGAAAATTATTCTTGCAACTGAAAAAAAAATGAATGGTAATTTTTGCATTTATAGATTTGCAATTATTTAGAACATCTCTAAAACTTCTCATTCATGGATGAATGATTACTTTTCTACCTGGCTATGACGCACTATATTACCTTCAATTGCTAGAAACAAATCTTACATAATCCATGCATATTTACATGTGAAAATAACTACAACACTTAAAATTCAAAAGTGCAATCAAGGTAACAAAGTTAAAGTTGCATACACTGTTAATTGTTAATCAGCATCGCATATCATTCCGATTCAATACCTATGCATCTATGGCATTTTCTTTTTAAATAAAAGAGTAAAAATAACTTTCATTGTCGTAAATGTATGAAACGATGGAAGTCCATCCGAACGGAACAACCAAAAATATAGGAAACAATTTTTTTTTTTGTCCGTAAATTCATTTATATATTGATTCACTATGCAACACTGAAATGAAGCTTCCAAAAGTTTATTCAATCTGAATAAAGCAACAGAAAACGATAAGAACAATTACTTTTTTCTTTCATAAATCCATTTATACACCGGTGGTTTCATCAATTGTCCCTTTGCTACCTAAAAAGTACAGGCATAGAATCACATCAGAATATTAATTGCTGTGCTAATAAATTGAAATAAAAAAAAAAAAAAAAAAAAAGAAAAGTTTAAATACAACTAATAAGATGTAAATGATTTGGAAATAAATAAGAAAAAATATACGAAACCGGACATTGTAAAAACAAGAAAGAAAATCTGGAACACTGATATATATGTAGTATAACCTTTTTGGGTCGTAATTCTTTCCCTTTGCTTTCTACTAAATTCCTTTTAACTTCCAATTTCTCAACAACGACCTTCAATTCTTTTGCACGTTGCAATCTTTTCAATAGTTCACTGTACATCTTTCGTCGTTCATGATCTGCTTGCTAAAAAAATAATGATTCACAGTTCTAGAAGCGAATTAAACAAAGCTATATAAATAAGTATCATATACATACATAAGTAAAGTTTCTAATTTAATTTCTAAATTTTAGCCTTAGAAATAAAAAAGTTAATGAAAACACATCAAAAGTATTATTCATTGATTCATTTTATTCATTTGTTTCTATTATTTTCTTACTTTTCCTCTTTTCTTCCACTTTGCTTTTTATCTTTATTTTTAGCTTTGTTTTCATATTATGTATTGTGTAAGGTCAGTAAGGATCAAAACTTGTCTCAACACAGAATATTACTGAAACAACTAAATATATGAAATGAGGAGGAATTAATCAGACGAAAAAGAATATATCAACAAGTGAATAAATGAAATGAATTAATAATCTTCAAAAAATTAAATGATTAATAATGACCTTCAAATATGGCTACAAAACACAATAAAAAAAGGTGCTCTTAAACATACCTTCACATCACTCTTGCTTTTAGCGTTTGTGATAGCATTGCTCTGTAGAGTAGAAATGCGCGGTCGATTATATCTTCGATCTAATACTTCTTTCGGCGTATTGAAATATTTCACGGGATCAAAATTCTTTGCTAAAAGGTATTGTTTAGACTGATTCATTCTAGTAAATGAACTCATTAGTGTTTAGCAAAATGGATCAGCTTCACAACTAAAACCGATAAAATCAAAAACGACAATTAAATTTGATGGAGGATGTTCTGTTGATTTCCAAAGCTCACCATTAGAAACACACTGAACATATAATTCACTGATATTAAATAGAGAAATATAAGTAACAGAAATAAATATAGACCGTAAAGATTTTAGTTTACAAAGCATTACTTATTTCTATTCAAACTGTTAGTATCTGGACAATCTTCCCAAAACAAATATAGGAGTGAGGCTTCTCGGGAACAGTCTCGCTGTGCACATGCTATTACCTATTCCCAATCAACTAAAATTCTAGATATTTCTCAAAACTTTTCCAAAAGAGAATGAAACCTTCTTTTGCTGTATCCACGAAAATGGTATGTGTATTTTTCGCAACTGTAGTGTCAGCAAAATGTAAGGTTGCTTTCAGCTTTTCAATTTTCTAAAAAAAATGACAGAGACATTCGAAAAATATATGACGAAACAATGCCTATATATATTACAAATTTGCATGGGGAATAATGGTTCGAATTCTTGCTCTTTATCTGCCAATTATAATTTTACTTTGCACTCGTGGACACTAAATTTCAAACATCATTCGGGAATAATTTCTTGTTCCAATAATTTCAATATAAAAACAAGAAATGAGTGAAATTACCTGATTTTCAATATTCAGTCGATGCTTCACATATTTCAAATCTTCTAAATTCTTTAATTTTTTTTGCACCAACGTATCCTCATCAGGTTCTGGGGTATTTTCATGATGTACTCCATCATCCTGCAAAATTCGATGTTAACATTTGAAGAAAAAATTTCTTGTTATTTTTAAATGAAATATCAAACCAAAACCAATATATACAATAGAACAAGCTAAAAATGATGAAAGAAAAGAAAAGGAGGAAAATCACCCCAATATGACTTCGAATCATATGGAAATGGAATTCATCTGGATTCCGATTCAGTGCCTTCTGTCGCAATCTTTGCAGTTTTGCCTTTTTATAATTGTAATCTCGAGCACGCTGAACATAATCCTTCTTTTTCTCCAACAGACCAAACTGTGCTCGTGATTCGGGCTGAAACTTTCACTTTCAAGTATATTATTTCAAACTAGATGTGGAACAAAATGTAATAATGTTTCAAATTAGTTATTAAATTTTAAATTCCGTCGTCATTACCAATCAAGAATCAGGAAATCTCATTCACTTACGCGGCTACAAATCAACTTCTTCTCAAAACAAAAACTGATAATTGTGAAGATAGTAAAGTCACAAACCTGAGGACGTTCACGATGGATCCGTTGACCAGCTTTTGATGATCGTTTCAATGACGACATAATTGTGAAACCTGCAATACATATGCAAATTACCAGATTACAAATCAGACACATTCCTCCTATGGAATATAAACCTCTCCTGAATCCCTCTGACAGAATATAATTTCTTCCTGAATCCTTCCGGAACATAATCTCCTGAATTCCTTCCACAAAATATAATTCCTTCCCAAATCCTTCCGGAATAAAACCCTCTCCTGAATCTCCCCTACAGAGTATAATTCCTTCCTGAATATGCCTCTTTCTTTCTTCTCCCCTCCCTCTCTCACTCTCGTCACACTTAACATTCTTTCTCAGTCTTTTATCGCCTTACCCAACTTCTCCACTCACTCTTACTCTTTGATTATCCGACTCTCATGTGATATCTCAAATCCCTCATAATCTTCCTTCACTACAACGAAATTCCTTTATCGTCCGTATTCCACTAACTCCATTATAACTCGCAACTGTTATTTTGTTTGCAATCTCTCACTCCGCACTATTTCCTTTTCTGGCACTCTCTGGTCTACTCTCCCTTTCTTTACACACTTCGTCACGAAGTCTAATAATAAACTGCAGCGAAGCATTTTGTCTCGAAGTGATATGACTTCTTTCTGTAATGTTTGTGTGTTTATACATTGTTATTGTTGCGTGAAATACGTGGTGGGTACGGGTGGGTAAGTATGTGGGTAGATTTGAATTCGATGAAGGGAAGGTTTTTTCCCGTAAATTTTTTAATTTTTTTTTCAGATAATTTTTATAGCTTTAGATATTAAAGTGAACAGAAACAATGGCACAAAAATCGATGAAAGAGCAGAAGAAAGAATCGGAACGAGAATCAAGTAAATTTGGTGAGCTGCCATTAACGCTAAGTGAACGGTTGGCTAAATTGGATGCAAATGACTACCTGAATCGTTCACCGGATGATCCACGTTGGTTTGACCGAAAATACAATCGGAAACAACGGAAAGCTCCTGATAGCCCACTCTGGACAGCTCCATTAGATGCTCGTTATCAGCAGATAAAGATGGGACGCCATTGCGTTGATTATTATCAGGATTATTATCGATGCACCAATTTGTTGGGTGAAGACTATAAACCATGCAAATTCTTCTACAATACTTTTAAGGATCTTTGTCCGTCATCGTGGATTGAAAAATTTGACGAGTGGAGAGATGAAGGCGTTTACCCGGGACATTTTGATCGTTAATACTTTTAGGTGCACTAAAGATATTTCTCTCTCTCGCTCTCTCTACATTAGTCTTTACGACTATTTAGGCTATACTGAGTAAGATTCTCTTTTTTTGTAATTGTATCCTTGCGAAGTTTTATTTTTAGTGTTGAAGTCTTTAAGCTTTGTTTGTAATTACACTTCCGTAGTATACATTGTTCATCCTAATTTAAAAATGGATTATTCGTAGTCTTTGAGTTTTCCCTCATGCAATTTTATTATTTCGTCTTCATATCTAACTAATCTTTCTTAACTTTTATATGCATTTTGTTGTATTATAAAATTATGTCGAAGACGTTAATATATTTTGCGTCAGTAATGCTGTGTAACATTTTATCTGGATTTAATGAGTAAAAAATAAAATTAAGGGGATGTTAAAAAGCAGTACGGTGGATCAGAAAGAGTTGCAAAGACGTGAGACATTTTTACGCGATAACTCTCGACCCTTAAAACTAGCTGATCCGACAACTTGGCCACGTCGTTGGGGCGTGACTTCTTTTGCTATTGTTACTGGCCTGCTATCTTGGAAATATTATACGGATTGGTCAAGAAAACCATTCTTTTACAGTAAGTTTTCGTCATCAGTAATTAAGTAGGGATTTAAATATTCATTTCAGTATCTCTTTAAATGGATTTAGATTTAAATTCGTTGTAATATAGGTTGGCACTCATACATTATACTTGTGGACTTTGTTTCAGGTCTCGTTCCTCGCTTCATTCTTTTGACCTTTCTGGGTGGCATTGGATACGTAGTTGGTTCTCTTCGTGAATATCACTATAAAACCCGTGACGCCGTTATTGAACATTATATCTCGCTTCATCCAGAAGACTTCGAGCATTTGACAAATTGTAAGCTCTTGTAGAAATTTTAATTAGAAGTGTTATCCTACGTTCTGAAGTTTTGAACTAAACGTTTTGTTTTTCCAGTATTTAAATGATCTTTGATTTTTTCAGTGGACGGACGTAAATATTCGGAGGTGCTTATACCCTGGATTCCTCGACGTGCACATCATAGAAAATTTGATTAGAATCGATTAGCTGTCTTGTACATTTTATTGTTCGTTAGCTTCATCTGGGACGTATTTGCTATATTTTTTAATTTCGTTTATTAATGGAGTCAGAAACAAGCGTTGGTAGTCTGGAATCTGTTTCGGTCAACGAAAAACGTCAACGTATGTTGGCACGATTAGACGCACGTCATACAGGGGATGCAACTGGAATGAAAACATCTTCCAGCGAAACAGAATTTGATAAACTGCTAGCAAAAGCTACATGTATAATGAATTCTTCAGAATCAAACATTGAGCCTGAATTTTTGCAAGAGTTAGAAATTGCACTTACACTAATTCCACTCGGTCGTCAGTCACGTCGTTTAAGAGAAGTTTTGAATGTGCTACGCAGTCGAATGCAGAAGCAAATTGGATTGACGGATCAGCAGGCAGCATTTTCCTTTAGCATTAAAAAAGAAAATGCTACTGCATCAGAAGTACAAAAAGCAGCAGTTGCCAAATGTAATCCTCTTGATTCCACTCAGACAACAACTAAACTATTGGTGCAAAAAGCCATTACAATAACTGATGAGGTATTTTTTATTGTTGTAAAGTAGTTTTATTTATGAATAAATTACCACCAAGTGTTATTCCAACATTTGCATTCTAATAAGATATCTTAGAAAGTTAGAGTAAAATTCCATTACAGCATGGGAAGGAATTAGTAATAAAAGGTGATGATGGTGAAGATGTAACAATCAACGATGTCACTAATTCTATGGTTCGTGTTCCGTTTAAAGCATCGGCTGTACATATTAAGTCGGTGAAGGATAGCACTCTAATTTTTGCGCCAGTTAAAACTTCTCTGTTAATACGGAACTGTGAAAACTTAACGGTTGTGGTCGCTGCACAGCAAGTAAGAACACACGATAGCCATCAAATCCGGTTCTACATTGAGGTTTGTTTCAAATTTCTGGGAATGTAATTTTCTTGGAAATTTCTTCTCTAGAAATCTATATATCATTTGTTTATCATACTTTTATTAATGTCCTAATTGAAGAATAATACATTTAGAAGTAGTTTATGATTAGATTTTAAAGAAAAAAGAAAATTGTAAAAATGATTTAAAAAAAAAAAAATAGTTTAGGTACGCGGTGCTTTGATAATTGAAGACTGTGATGGAATAGAAGTTGCACCGTACAACGTCGTTGGCTTTCAACAAGACACGCAAAATAACAACTGGCGTAACGTGCAGGATTTCAGCTGGCTTTCTTCGGAAGAGCATAGTCCAAATTGGAAAATCATGGAAGAAAATTCGGCAAAATACTTTAATTTATAATACGAATCATTAAGCTTCTATTTCCAACAAAATTCATGTGTGTTCATCTATTTTTTCTTTTTTTTTTTTTTTTTTTTTTGAGATTTACAATTGACTGTTATGAAAAAGTGGTTCTAAATTCCAGTTCAGTAAGTTAGACCAGCATGGATTACACTGTCAGTTTGTTCGTGAATCTCATTTTTCTTTCATTCTTTTGATTCGATAGTTTTTTTTTTTTCAACAAATATAGATTTATGAGAAAAAATAGTTAGTGTAGATCCTGAATTATCGGTTTTTTCATTTTTTTTTTATCTGCTTCATTTCAGTTATCTTTTTCTGCGCGTGTTTCTGTTAGTAAATTAATTACGATGACTATTCCGATCAGTAAATGTGTGCATAATTTCTCAAATGCGTTAATAAAACTAAAATTCTTTTAATTATTTTGCAACACTGAATTTAACAAGTTTTCTTTCTCATGGACTCCTTGTTCAAACTTTTAAGCTCCCTACTACTTTATCAGGAATATTTTCATATGCATGAATAAAAGGTATGGAACATTTTTCCTAAATTTATTTTTAATACAGAAGCATTGTTGTAAGGTTGTTGTCAGAACTGCGTTTCTGTTTCATTGCATTAATAAATACTTGTGAGTGTAGGATTTTTTTTAACTGAAAAAAAGTAGAATAAATTCGCCAACTTTTTCCTTGTCGAATGTCTGTCACGAAATAGTTTCAATTATGCAAGCTTCATTTTTAACTTTCAACTTCAGTTAAAAGTTAGTAAAGTTTGGTAAAGTAAGCTGCATAATTAAAACACCTAAATTTAAAACCCTTCGTGAATTATATAATATATAATTTCTCAGAATCCAACTGAATTGAATGTTTTTTCTTTTTTTTTTTTTTCACAATTTTAGTTGTAATTGACGAAGATTTGCGTTATTTATTCAGAATGGGTTGTTGTTCGTCGATTATGTTCCATGATGAGGAGAAAGGATTGGAGGATCACTTGTTTCCATATCTTGATTATCAGGAACAACCGGATGATGAATATAAACAACTAGATACTGAAAATGATCAAAAGGGTGATACAGCTGTGGAACATATATTTAAGAAAACAAAGTAAAACCAAATCAGATTAATAAATAGTAAAGAAGTGATAATTAAGAGTAAAAAAAGTGATGATAGCAATCATAGTAAAAAAAAGAAAAAAATGACAATTTCTTAATTTTAAATTCATCGTAACTAATTGAGCAAACAAGATTTCTTACCACTTTCATATATGATAGCCAATTACATGTTTATGCTTGTGAAAGTTCCTTGTCATTTTATTCGAAATATTTCAGGTTTAATTTTTTTTTTTAATGAATAAGGCAATTTTAAAAGTTTGAAAGATATTGAATTAAATCCCAGTTACCACTATGATTGCTAAAATTCATTATTAATGCACAAGATTTAACAGTAATAATATGATCAAGTGTTCTGCATGACATCAAAAATAGCTGATAATGTAAACAGTCGGAGAATTCTTGAGCTACCGATAGATCAATAAATCGATAGATTTAATCCTTAGGTATCGATTTATCGATCTTATATAGGAAATCGATTAGAATTTTTAAATCTCAGCATGCTTTACCCTACCTTGTACATGCCATTAGTGCATAATACAGAAATATCGTGATAAAATTTTATTAAGAAAGAAAAATTAATTCTCAATTACGTATGTAATATTTAAAATAACAAGATGGTACTTTCTAAATGATTTTTTTGTCATCCATGCAAACAATAAACAAACAACAGTCATAAAACTTTCATTAGATAATTATTTTAAATCATTTAAATTTCATCATTTTCTAAAACTTAATTCGTGTCACAAAAAAATGATTTTTTTTTTTCTCAGAAAATAATATTTTATTATAACCTAAGAGAAATTTATTTTAATTTTTAGAATGGTATATGGACAACCACCTAAAGATATGAGAAATATTCAAATCGATTGGAAAAAAGAATATCATATTGATTTTAAGAATCGACCATGCCCATATGATTTTCCAGCATTTGAAGGCGATAAACCACCTGATTACGATGAAAATGTCTTCTTTTTTTTTTTTTTTTTTAAATTAATTTGAAAATGAATCAAAACAGAAAGCAATGCAAATAAAATAAATAAAATAATTTGGCTGTTTGGAATGAAAATTTTACACATTTTAAAATTTTCGATTTCAGAAAGAAGAAATGGATAAAGCCACTACTGTAGATAAAGGAGAATCAAAAATGGAGAGTGAGGAAAGAGAAGGAAAAGGAGGAAGGAAAAGAAAATCGAAGAGTAAAGGCAAAGATGGTTAGATTTAAATTTCATTTCAAATCAAATTTATTTCAATTAATTAATCAATCAATCTAATTGCAGGGAAAAAGAAGAATGTTAAGAAAGATAACAAAATGTCTTCTAAAAAGCCAAAACGTTCAACTAATGAACTTGATCAATGTAGTCTTAGTGAAAAGGATTGAACAAAAAGAAAGAAAAAAAGTTTAATAAAGTTTTTTTTTTTTCATTTTATTTTAAAATTTCAATGGCTTACTGTTTCTAATGTATTTCATTTCAGAATCTTTTTCCATTGATTTAATTCTATAAAAATGCCCAGCATTCATTCAGAAAACTTTCAGTTAATACAAATTTGAAATTATAAATAATTTAGTTTGAACTTCATCAAAAAAAAAAGGGAAAAAGAAGGCCAAAATGTTATGAAAAATTTACTATATCATTTCAAACTTAATTAATCTAAAATTATTTAGCTTATTGATTTTAAAGCAGACAAATTATTCATCTTCATAAACATAATTAGTTGATTTTTTTGTAATAAGTGAATTAATTCAACAATTTTAGGAATTCCAGTTTCAGTCAAATAAGATTTTAATCTAATATTTAATTTCATCATATGTTATCTATATTTGAATTGATTAAATTATATTTAATTTTTTATTTAATCTAATCATCAAATTGTACATTTAAATATTTTGAAAATATTTAAGTTTTAAAATTGAAACTTTTCCTAAATGTTTAATTAATGTTTTCATACACTTTTACTCGAACATATTTTATTTTTTATAATATACAATATAAATAACGAATTGATAAAAAGAGCAAAAAAAAAGGGGAAAAAAAAAGAGAGCGCAAAATAAACAAAAACAAAGGAAACAAAAAACATAAATGAAAAAGAAAAAAGAAAACAAAAGAAAAAGCCCCGCAACAGCAAATGTCATGTTTACGATATATACCATGTATCACACATTAATAATGACAATAATAGTAATAATAGTTATAATCATAATAATAATATTAATAGTAGTAAAAATAATATTAATAGTAATAATAATAGTAATAATAATAATACAATTACTAGAAGAAGTCCTAACATTTAATTGTTTTTAACTTTTCTTCAAAAAAGAAAAAGAAAAACTAACTAAACCTACTTACTAGTATAATGTTACGATATTTTCGTTTGATTGCTTAAAAAAATAATTTAATACTTTCATTTCTTCTTTCAAATTATTTTTATTAAATCTTTTTTTTTTTCTGCTTTTTTGCTATTAATATCGGTAAACTTTAGCTTAGAAAATAATTTAATCAATTTATATTACAGAATGCTATAGGTAAAATCATACAATCTTAACCAGAATTGATTAATTAAAAATCATTAATTCAAAATTTTCAATAATTTAATTCAATCTAATTCATTGCTATTTTTCTTTTTTTTTTTTTTAAATTCATCATCTCATTTAAGTTATTTATTAAACAATCAAATAAAATGCGAAACATAAGTCCTATATAGGATAATTGCAATAACTGATTAAATAACCTGAAATCATGAAATGATCCGAGGTATTTGCCCTATGTGCAGGAATTTCTCGGTATCGTATCGAATCGCTCTGACTTTAACAAAAATCTTGAGCTTACAGTAATAAAATTTTTAATTTCTTCAAAAGCATCACTTTTTTTTTTTTTTTTTTTTATACAAATATCAGTCATAATTGCATGGCAAAAATTTTTTTAACTAATTTTATTACTTTATTTGCTTCAAGTTTGTCTTTCAAAAATGTATTATCATTATTAGTATGTGCCAAAAATTAAAATTTAGAAAGAAAAAACAAAAATCACAAAAAGTTTCAATTTTTGTTTCTTAATAATTTCCAAAAAAAAAAAAAGAAAATTTCCTTCATGATAATTGTATCATAGAAAGAAGATATATCTAAGCGAATTTATAATCAAATTATCAATAAATAAATAAATAAATAAATAGAGGTTGAAATTAGAAAGCAAAAAAGCAAAAATTAATAATTGTACAATTACAAGTCAAACTTATATTATCAGTTCTAACACCAATTCTGGTATACCTCTCTGACATATTTCCATTTACGTTTTTAAAAAAAAAAAAAAAAATTATTTTATTTGCTTAGAAAGTGCTTTTCAGATAAAATTGATAAAATTTGAAAAATTCGTTTTCTACCCAAAATTCAATTTTTTTTTACTCTCTTTTTTTTCTTCTTTTGCTTTTTATTTTTTTAATTTATGTTTGAAATCATTCAAAATCTTTTCAAATTCTATTCATATATTAATAGAATCATTTATAAAAAATATGTTAAAGAGAACAAATGAAAAATACAAAAAAATATATATATATATATAATTATATAAAAAATTTTTGTTGAGATCTCTTTGTCGATGCACTCGTTAATATCGCCAATGATTGATTGCTTATTAGTGTCAAAGGTTATAGATAACATATTGAAAAGTGAGTGATCAGTGCATTATTTTCATTATGCTTAGAATTAATTAATTAATTTTACAAATTTAAATTGACAGTATTTTTTTCACCTAATCAAAGTATAAATAACATTTTGCTATTAGCGGTAATAAGAGTGAAATTTTTGATTATTTTTTTTTTTTATTTATTTAAAACCTTTATTCCACTAATCCTTGTCATGTTGATGGTATCTGTTCATCGGCACTTTCATCACTTTCATTTACTGTTGTTACCTCACCTTTACATTCTTTTTTATGCTTCATTCGCCTATTCTGGAACCATATTTTCACCTGAAATTAATTATTCAATTTTTAAAAGTTTTTTTTTTAATCCTAAATTTTATATTAATTTCAAATCAATCAATTCATTTATTTTATCACTAATTACTATTTCATATAAATAAACATTCAACAATCTTATTTAAAAGTTTTTTTTCTTTTTCTTTTTTGTCTTTAAGACAAAAGATTTTTATGATTAATATCCAAAAAAAAAAAAAAAAGGGAAATCAAGTCGGCAAAGAACAAAGAAAAGTTTATTCAGGGAGAAAAAAAAAACGGAACGGGTGAAAAAAAAAAAAAAAAAGAAAACAGAGGCTCAAGAATGTTCATTTTTGTCCTCGGGACAATTCCTTTCTTTTCTTGCTCTAATGGGACCACCCAGGTGATGCAATAAATTAGGAAAACCCTATACCGGCGGATACATGCCGGTTTATTTTCATTACAAAGGGAATGAAATTCCGTTATATGATTAAATGAAACAAAAAATTTATTTTATAAATTTTGTTACGAAACTTTTTTTTTTTGTTCTGATATAAATATAATAATTTTGATAAGTGTTATTTCTTTCCCTTTTTCTTTTTTTTCAAAACTAACTTTAGAAATGTAAAAAAATTACGGAGAGATTGTAAAGAAAGATAAAGTTTGAAAATTTTTGAAACTATAAAATTTTTTGTTTAGCAAAATACTTTATCAAAGATTGGTGAAAATTTTCCCTAATATTCTCTTTTGAAATTGCATCATTTTCAAAAGTTAGTTTAACAAATCGAAATCAAAAAAATGACATTCATTTCTAATTTTGATTTGACAATATTCCATTGATGTTAATATTATTAGGTGAAAATTTGACAAAAATTTTAAGTATAATTAAAGGTAAAAAAGATATAATGCTTAATGCTCAAAATACGAATATTATAAATTATAAATAATAATATATATCATAAAGTAACTTTTAAATCTATCATAATTTATAAAGACATCTCATAACTTAATTATAATATCTTAATTTGCGGTAATTTATAATACCACAATTTAAACTTGAATTTAAACAATTTAAACTTTCAAAGAAAGAAAATTTTTGCATTTATCGAAGTTTACGTCTGCGTTTGCATTACAATTGCATTACAAAATTATGGATCAGAGAATTGTAATTATACTGATTAATTGTTATAGCATCCAAGGTAATCTGGTTGTAGCAAAAATTAATTTATTAATAAGAAATTTAATAAAAAACGGTGAGAGAAAGAGAGAGAAAAAAAGAGAGGTGATAAAGAAAGAAAGAGATTTTTGTTTTAAAAATGATACTTTAAAAATCATATGATCAAAATGTCGCAAAAGAAAAAAAAAAACAATTTACTTTAAAAATTTCTAGGATATACAAATATCATGATTAATTTTACTCATTTACAAGTATTCGTTGATGCAAAGAATTATCATCATTTAATTTCACATTTTACAAATACTAAAATAACATCCTCAAGATTTTGTTGATTAAAAACACTAGCAGTAATATTTCAATTACTTGTCTACAAATCAACCAATCACATTTCTGATACGTTAAAATAATTGAAAATAATACATTCTTTTAATGAGGTTCATTTTTTCTTTTTCTTTTCTTTTCTTTTCTTTTCTTGATAACACTTCAACGTATCAAAAAATGATGTAAAAATTGTATTGCTTTCTCAGAAATCATCAAAATTTCTCTTGTAACCGACCAAAATGATGATAATGATTGATGTAAAGTGTTTCTTTTTTTTTTTTTCTTTTAAATCGTGAAATGAAACATAAATCACATGTGAAACAACGGATGATCCTATTTTTGGCAAAAAAAAAAAGAAGAAAAAAATAAATGCTTCACAGAATTCTGTAAATTATTGTCTACCTAATTCCATTAATTTAGTGCTAACTTAATTTTTAATATTTGTCAAGTATTTATTATGCTCTTCAATTCAATCTTTATATAATTTTAACAAATAATATTTAAGGGATGAATTAGTTGCTAAGCTGATTTCAATGATACTTTAAATATTTCAAAGTTTAATTCTAATATTTCAAAAGTTGAAACAAACCTGCCGCTCGGATAATTGTAAACTTTCAGAAATTTCTTGTCGCCTTTTTCGCGTTAAATATTTATTATAGTGAAATTCTTTTTCAAGTTCCAACGTCTGATTTCTACTATATGTTTGTCGCGTCCTTTTTGATTCACCACCTTTACCACCTGAAACACATAAACAAAGATTAATAATCATTTTAACAATTCATTACCGTAAATTATTTCATAAAATATAATTAGTATAACTAAAACATAAATGGCAATCACATATAATATTATTTAATATAATGTTACATAATTCAATATAACCTTAAGAATAGCATAAGTAAAATTAGAGAAAAAAAAATGAATATTTTTTGTAATTTTAAAATACAATTCAAAAAACATAACGTTTTAATTTGCATTTTCAGTTTCAACAATCAGTTTTATCACCTTTTCACTTAATATTAATAAATTTTCTTGAATGCGAATGTTTTCTTTTGTCTTAATTTTACTAACTTATATATTTATTTGATTTGGAAAAATTTAAAATTTTGAATTTGCCTGAGATTTTCATTAATTTCACCATAACTAAAAAACAAAGGCTATGTTTTAATCTTCTATAATATTAACGTTCATTTTTGGGATAAGATTAATAGATAATTTAAGTGTAATATTGCTATAACTTTTCTGTAAATTTTATTTATAAATTTTTTTTTTTGATATAAAAATAGAAAAAAAGAAAGAAGAAAACACCGCTAGAACTGCACTAATTTTTGTATACTGATCATAACTAATGTACAAAGGTGTACTGTAAACATGAATATAAAGGTATACTGTATATGCCAAAATGTTACGGTACATATGAAGATAACGTTTTCTTTTTCGTTTTTTTTGTTTTTGTGTACCTTTCATAAAGAAATTTTGAAAACTTGTGCTTCTTAACCACTATCATCAGCCCAGTTCGTGATGAAGGAACGAATGAGCGGCTTTTGTCTTTGATGTGTAGCGGTGAAACTGTCAAAGCAATTTTCAAAATATCTGTTGATTTATATTGAAGGAATGATAAACCACTGAGAAATGGAATGAAGATGCTGCTTTTTTGCAAAAAAAAAAAAAGAAAAGGAACTTCTTTTTTTTTAAAACGTTTTCGTTTTAATCATTCTTGAATTTCAATTGCTTTTTTTTTTTTTCACATGCGATGAATAATTTTTGAAAACTTCACAGTTTTTTTTTGAAAAATTAAATCAAAGTACGATTAATATAAAAATTGCATTATCTCTGCATTCGAAAAGTCAAATTTTAATTTAAAATATCTAAATTTTTTGGAAAAAAGTGGATGAGAAAAAATTTTTACAGCATAAAGCAAATTAATGTAGATCAGATAAACTAGTAACTAACAATGGATAATATTGTAAGTATGAACAATTCCTCAATAGTTTTTGATGTAAGATATACTTAACTATACTTATGGTACATTAAACTTTTAATTCTAACTTACCATTATGCAGAAAATGAAAAGATATGTAGACTTTTAATCTTTGTTGAAAATTTTCAATATTTTTTTTGCAGTTTACGGTAATAGATAGAACAATACTTTTCAATACTAATAAGTTCTTATTTTAGAGTTTTTCTTTTTCGATCGTTTTTAGACGAGAAAAAAGTGAATAAATAAGGTGAACAAAGTGTGAACAAATTAAAAAAAGAGTGGCGGACGTGATACAGCCTTTGTTTAATTTGTGTCATTGAAAATATTGTCATATCTAGAAATGATTTGCTTGGCCAATTTCACTAAAACGAGTATTGCTCGAGGGTTGTAATGAAAGAGCAGCGGTAAAACTTCAAAGAATCGTAAAATGAAATATATTCTTCTCAAATAACAACAAAATATTGTTACGTAAGCAAAACGAGGGGAAAAAGTTGACGGAAGGATAAGAACAATAGCAGCAATACCAATAGCAATAATAATAGTAATGTAATTAATTAATTAATAATAATAACAATAAGAATAATTAATAATGACGGTGATAATAATAATAATAATAATAATAATAATAATAATAATAACAGTAATAATAATTAATAATAACGGTGATAATAATAACAATAATAATAATATTAACAATAATAAAAATATTAATAAAAGCAACAATAACAACAGCTGCAGTGAAAAAACTTCGAAAAAAAGTTACGTTTAATTTATGTATTAAATATGTACACACACACACACACACACACACACACACACACACACACATACATATGTATTTCGGAAGATAAAAAGGAGTTGTTATCATTTTCTTCATCAAAATCATTCAACAACAACAATAACAACAACAATGGAAAGACGGAAAATTGATAATTTTCACCTGTCGCATTTTTGTAACTTTCAGTTTATGTACATAATGGTGGAGTAATGATATGAGGGAATACTTTAAGATTACATACAGAGCAAAGATTATTCATGATGATAAAATTTCAAAAAATGAATAATTCTTGCAAGTATCTTCAGTACCATTGTAATTATTTTTCGAAATTTGTCATTGATATTTAAGTGAAATATATTTATGGTAAAATGATCAAAATGCTAATATAAATGTTAAGTTTATTAATTTATATGTGTACTTCGTATTTTAACAGAAACTTGTTTGGTTCTAAATTTAATGCAATTATTTCAATAATAGATGTAACTGGAAAACAACTCATATCAATATCTCAATAATTTTTTATTAAGATTGAAAATACATTAAATCATTGTATTACTTTCCTGTTAATATTCATAATTTTAATCATGCAAAAATTTGAACAAAATTTAAAATTTCCCTTTGTAATTTTAAAATATGTTTATCTTCAATTGATCTTATAATAATCATTCGTATAAACAAACAGAAAAATTGATAAAAGTGAAATTTGTTAGCTTTCTCGTTTTCATTTTAAATTTCATAAAATCATCAGAAAATTTTGCATTTAATTATTGATCAGTATTACACATTCATGAATAGCACAGCACCAAAACACACCCATTGATTTATACCCATCCATTCACCATATCACATAACTAAACTAACTACTACCACTACTACTACTACTACTGCTACTCTATCATTCGATCATCATCAAATGATGAGTTCCATACGAATAATGCGCAAGCGGTACGACGTATTATCTATGCGCAAGCGGTACGAGGTATTATCTATGCGCAAGCGGCACGACGTATTATCTATCTATCTGCATTAGCAACACACACACACATACACACCTGCCTCTTTCCTACAGTATACCATTATTGAATGAAATGAATAGAAATTACTACGATGACTCGATTCTATCATTTTATTAATGCAATTCAAACTATCTAACACAAAAATGAGTAAAAATAAAAATCCCATTGTATTATCTGAAAAGAAAACAAAAATTTAAAAAGATGAAATAATTGTAGTGTTTAGAGATGGAAATAGAAAAGAATGTTATCATTTTAAACTTATCATTTTCATCTATTGTCTTTCAGTAGGAAGAAAAAGAAAACAAAGCAAACATAATTATTTCTAACTATTATTTTGCAATCGATTTAAAAAATTCTCCATATAAAATAAAAAGGAAAAAGTAAGAATGAGAAAAAGAAAGTAAACAAAAATAAGTAAATAAATATGAGAGATCAATTTAATTAAATAATAAGAGATCATATCTCTTGAAGCTTATGTTCCTTTTTTCTTTTTTTTTTTCATAATATCTGTAATAGACAAATAAAAATTAATGATATCTGAAGTGAGTGTGCATTTATCATAAGCTAATTGTATCTGTAATAAATGTAGGATAAGCTAATTGGATATTATTTAATTATGAGTATATTAAAATAATCTGATAGCATTATGACTGCTTATTGATGTATCAAGAATAATTGACTTGCATATTTAGACTGTTGGAAAAACTATCAAAGAATTATGAGAATGATAATATGATAACATATGACACATGAAATATTGTACAGTTTGATAAAGTTTATCTAAAATTAATGAACGAATTAAACAGTTGTAAGCAGTAAATTAAAATGGTAACAAGTGTCACAAGTTGGGAATGAAACTCGTCTGAATAGTAGTTCTCACGGGTTTGCTGTTGAATGTAAGAAATTTGATAAAATTTATAGTCACCTATATTGGTAGCCTTTTGCTCTGCTGTTGCAAACTTTGAAATTAACGACTTTGTCTAATGATAAATTACAGCAAATACATGGGAACATTAATATAATTGGTAAATTTTAATAGTGCTTATAAAGAGTTAGAAATAAATATTACTAATGAAGTAAGAGGGCTTTTGATTGAATCTTAAATTAAATCATATATTAGATTAAGTCAGATTTTAATTTTCACACTAAAAAAAAAAGAAATAAATAAACTATTCGTAGTATTTATTTTATAAAAAATATTTTCAAAAATAGGTGTCTATGAAAAAAAAAAAATTTTGTTTTATTTATAAAAGATTGTGTTTCGAAATGGTCCAAATTAATTAAAATTTTCCATCCATTTTCATTTTATACTTCTAAGTTAAAATGATAGCATAGATATGTACTACTTAAATTATCAGTGTGAGTTATTATAATGTTATAATAATAACAACAATAATGATAGTATCATATCATATCATATCATTTTTCATTGTCAATCGTTTTTCTGAAAATACTACCCATTCTTTAAAAGAAAGTAATTTTTTATTATCACTATTATTACTTCTATTACTGCTACTATTACTTCCACTATTACTGATAATGTAATAACAATTAATAATAATAATAACCTTAATAATAATTGATAATAATTATCATTAATAATAATGGTAATAATAATAACAATAATAATTCGTTCATATAATTGAAGTATGAATTGTAATAATTATTAGTGATAATAATCGTTCAAGCATTTTCATTCAACAAAATCATTCTAATATTGAAATTTATTTGCTGATAAGATGTTAACAATTGATAATAGCAATTGAAGATGAGTCCATAAGAATGTTTCCCGAACCAAGGGCATCCATCCATCTGTAAAGCAGTTAATCCAGCTTACTGATGAACAAATGTCTTCTGGGATTGGCGCTATTTTTTGAACTTTCTTTCAAATAAATCACACACAACAGTCTTTTTTTTTTTCGCTTTTTAGCATTGGTATTTATTTTATCTTAAAAAAAATTCCCCACAATGCAAGCATTAAAAATTTCCCTTAC